GATAGCATTTTGATAACAATCACCAACTAGAAACTGTCCATTCGCGTCTCCATTTTCTGCTGATTTCAAATACCATTTAAATGCTTTTTCTTCATCTTTTTGTGTTCCGATAGCATTTTGATAACATTTACCAACTTTGTTTTGTCCTCTAGCATCTCCATTTTCTGCTGATTTCAAATACCATTTAAATGCTTTTTCTTCATCTTTTTGTGTTCCGATAGCATTTTGATGACATTTACCAACTAGATATTGTCCTCGCGCATCTCCATTTTCTGCTGATTTCAAATACCATCCAAATGTTTTTTCTTCATCTTTTTGTGTTCCAATAGCGTTTTTGTAATCAAATATTATTGAAGTTTAAAATAGTAGATTAAACTTTAATTATATATAATAATGATGAAGAATAACTTAATAGAAATTTCTTACTTTCTATAATTTTTTCATCAAGCTCTTCGATAACTGTGTTATATTCATCGTCCGTACCATCATTTTTATCATCTACAGTTTCATTATTTCCATATATTTTTGTGTCTTGTTCTTCGATGGCAGATAAATTTTCTAATATAGTGCTTGTCGGTTCAATCATTGTTTTAGTAATCCTTCTACTATTGATTATTGTATCATCAATGTTATCTTCCAAAATGTGTGCCAATGTATTTTTGGTATTTGTATTAATATCTTTTACTATTGAATTATTGTTTGCATGCTTCACAATACATTTATTTTTGTTGATAATCGATTCGGTGTTGTTTATAAAATTATTTTCATCTTTTATGATATTCAAGTTCTCATCGGCAAGAATTTGCAATGCGCATACTGAATCAACACGATTAAGTTCCGTAATAGGCACGGAAAAGGCCTTTGCTGTATTTTCTGTTTCGTTGAATGAAGAAACATTTACGAGAATTTCTGCCATATTTTATTCACTTGCGAAAGAATAATACATGTACAACGATAACGTCTGACAAAAATGATGTACTCTGAGGAATTTAAAAAATTCGTCGAAATTTTCTCATGCACAGCATATCGATGTTTTACAAATGAAGTAAATTTCATACCGATACACGGAATGCCGGAGAATTTTTTTGCTATTTTTTCTATGATATAGTGCATCCAAATAAACTTATAAATATTCTAATGATTTAGTAGGTATAATATCTGTTGAGAGTATTGTCACGAATGAAATAAAAGATTATGAAATAAAGGAGAAAGTCGTGACTGTTGGAGTTATTGTTATTAGTGGTGCAGACATCGCTCAAGTCAGGGATAGTTGCCCGAACGGCAAAAGTCACAGCATTACGGCACTTCGATAGTTGACCACAGATAGAAAAGGGTTGGTACACTAGTGGTTTTTTTGTGAACCTCTAGAAGAATTCCGGATTCCTAATAAATTTCTAATAATTCATTGAAAATCATATAAATCTCAACAAACCACTAGGAGATCTGGAAGAGTTTCATAAAAAAAACCACTAGTGTACCAACCCTTTTCTATCTGTGGACGTAGCTAGGGTAGTTGACGTGGCTAGGATAGTGATCGTAATTGGGGAGTATAGGTCGTACAGTGCAAAATTTATTTAGATAAAGTATAAATTGCAAAGGGTTAAACTGTTGATGTGGGTAAATATATACATAGGCGAATCGTATTTATTTTGCTCGCGAACAGTATACCCTTTCATCGATCACACATATCACACTATGCACATCGCACTACCTCACGTCACCGCTACTCCCACTGCCACTTAGTCACTACGTCAGAAATATTTGCAGCTCTAATTGTTATATGGTGCAGGAACTCTTTGATCGACAATATGTTGCTTTACTACTCAACATAGAGGCAAACTTTCAAAATCTGATCGGTAACTATGTTCTTTATAATAAGTTCTACAAAGTCACCGTCAGATTTTGAAAATTTGCCTCTATATTGATTAACATTTTAAAATTGAAACATAGCTCATTTATCCTCAATACAATGTCTTTTATATTAAATGAAACAAATGATTTTTAGTTATGCAGATTAGAAGAAAACTTTCCTCCATAATGTATATATGTGTTTACTTATTTGCGAATAAGAAGTTCAAAAATGATTGATCAATTATTTTAACTCGTGAATTGACTCGAACTCTACAGAATTGAGTCATTCTTTGACTCAAACTCGACTCTTACCAATTTGCGAGTTATTCGAATTTATTCGACTCATTCGGAGCTCTAAATTCTAACTCGTATGTTTCGGAGCAGCCAAAGAACTATTAACTACATATGAAGCTTTGACAACTCTATAATCATTTAAAACGATCCAAGTGTTTGTGCAGAGTCTAATTTGACCATTCGACGAATTTCAAATGCATCATGTCGTCCACTTGGAACAGGTTTCCGATTATTGATATGACAGTCCTAACTTCTAGTAATGGAATGTCTTTACTGACGCCGCCGCTTTCGGATGCAAGAATTAATTCGTAATTTGTGTCATTTCGATTGTATTTAATATCGATAATCGATATTGAACTGAGTAGATTTTTCCGTTACTACAATAACAATGCTTTTATTAGAGAAAATTAAACTTAACGTTAGTACTTTGCATTCTACGTGTGATTCTATCAACTAGCTACAGCAATTGAATACTATACACGTATAATTTGCAATTTACAATAAAAACAAAAATCAAAATTTGCTAGAAATTTAGCACTTTATTTATGTCTATAAAAAATGCCAGTATTATAGTAAAATTTACATAACAATCTCACCGCCATTACTTTCCGCCGGAACTGTATTGTTATTTAATTTAATAAAGTGGCTACCATTTTTGAGTCAAAACTCATTTTCTTTTGCTCCATTTTTCTGTATTAATAAAAATTTTTTTGACAAAGCTTCTCATACCCAATGACTACACATTCATTCACTAGTCAAAAACGAACACTTTTTATTATACGACTCGTATTTTGAGACTTTTTTATAGAAACCTTTAGAAAAATCAAACCACAAATCAATTGCTAAAGCCTCGCTCATGATACTATTTTTTTGTCAAGATTCGAATTAATTTTTATTTTTTCTGACGATTATTATTGAGGCATAATAAAAAAAATTTGCGTCACGCTTTCAAAGAAAAAACTGAAGTTCGAAAAATACTAGATTTATTTTTTAAGTTGTTTAAAAAAAAATAGGCACTGCTTAGTCTACATACAAGAAAATAGAAATAAAAAACACGCGTTTTTTGCAAATTTAGAATTAATATAAGAATAAAATTCTGAAAAATTAGAAAACAAACTAAAATCAAAGTCAAAAGCACTATCATTATCACTGTTACTATTATTGGACGAGAGATACAGAAAACTTTATGCGCGACTAAAAATCTGATATTCATAGCATTGGTGTTTTAGTTTGGATTATCTCTAGCGGTCATATCCCAGATCAGTATGAATTTGTCTTAAATGAGAAAGAAAAACCAATTCACGGAACTCCTGATAAATATGTTGAATTATGCTGGGATAAATTACCTGAAAACCGACCCGATATTTCTAAAGTAAATCAACAACTTAATGAAATCAAATGGCCATCAGAATCAACCAATAAGACGAAGTTTCAAAATTTATCATACGTATATGGTGCATAACGTCTAAAGTCATCAAACGTTTGTGCTTTATAAAATGGATAAACTTCTTTACTAAGAAATAAATACAAAATTTAATCCGTGAATATGCTCAGAAAGGGCCTATTCTATCATATTCACGGATTAAATTTTGCATTTACTTCTTTGTAAAGAAGTTTATCCATTTTATAAAATACAAACGTTTGACTTTAGATGTTATGCACCATACCTATTTTGGTATGAACATGTAAATACATGTACTGTTGTGTAATACAATACCGATACAAATACATGAACTACATGTACATGTATGTACGTATACATGTACGTATACCATGATTGCACACCCATATCGAAAATGAAATTTTCGGATATTATTAAGTGTTGGATTAAATATTTAATAAATATTCAAAATGCAGCTAATTTATGTTTTGTCGAGAAGTTTTTCGTTTTATTCCTAATTGCAAATTCAATTTGCTTAGCTTGGGTGTTCGTTGCAAGCGGGATGCTGCCCGCTTCGACAGTCATATGCGTTTGCTTTTTGCCGACTTCTGCATTCGCAGTTGTAAGTATAGTGATAACTTGGCATTAATTTAATAATAATTTGTAAAACTAATCTTGTAAAAACAAATTTAGTTTTTAAATAGAACAATAGCTCATGCTTTGGTACTTTGCTCGATAAATTTAGTTCCAATCTTTTATACAGTATTCAATTTGACTTGGGAACTGAATCATTGCCCTGATACGATGTGCTGGCAAGTCCAAACGATGCGATCTATCGTACATTCGGTTGCGATTACTTTAGCAATGGAGATTGGATGCATTATATTTACATTTGTTTTATGGAAGAAAGGGTAATTAATTACTTTAAATAATGATATCAATATAATTTATTTTAAAATATATTCATAGTAAGAAATATCCTTTATAGAATATGGCCATTCTTGGGTGAACTCAATATTAAATCAAAAAGAGATATACGCGGTAATAAATAATTTTATTTACAATTTAATACCCATTTTTAATATTTCAATTTACTTCTTTAGGAATGCACGCACTTTATCGCTTACAAGGCGTATTCTTGCATGGAGCTATACTGTTTTCTGTTATTTGGACCCTATCATACTTGTATTCAATGAGTGTTTGGAGAGATAAACTCTATGCGTATGGTCAAGACTATTATAATTGGAAACCATTTAATCTCTTATTTTTGCTCATTATGCCATTGTCTTGGAAAGCGGTAACTGTGAAAATATTCTTTCAGTGATATTTATTGAATTTTATTCGTAATATTGGGATTTTTCTAATTGACAGGTACGAGATGGATCAAAGTTTTTTATGTTTACTTCTATGCTGGCAAGTATCTTACAATCCGCTTTCGTAATTCGGATACTTTTCAACTGGTGTACACCGTATACAGTAAAAAATTTTACGCCGGAGTATAATTGTGGCTTTTCAGACAGGATTTTATATAGTCACGCGTATCAGAATTTATTTACTACAGGTACAAATATTGAATTTAATGAAAAAGCTCGGCTACTTTTTACTTAACCTGATTCATGCGACTTTTTTTGAATTAAATTGATTAGGAATAATAACCTTGACTTTTATCTTCGCTTTGAACATAAACTCTTTACTCTGTTTGCAGAATTTTGGCAAGAATTTAGAATTTTATTGTATGCTATTTTCTGTTAATTCCTGTTTTTTTATATATGAATTATGTGAGTAAATTATCTTTACTTTCTTTGTTCATAGTGAAATATCAACCAATGTCTCTTGATTACCAATACGCCGATGATGAATAATTTGGTTTATTGAAAGATATGGGGTATTGTTAAATATAATAAAATTCAAGGTTAAAGATATAGCGATAGCTGTTTGATTTATTCACATGTATGTATAAGACAGAATATAGTGTTTATTATTTGTTAATTATTTAAAACATACGTATACATGTATATGTACTGTATATTAATTAGCATTAGCAGGCCATTTCAATGGAAAGACAGACTTCTCCAAAGTGAATTTACTTCAGCATTTAGTGACAATTTATATCTTAGTTAAGTCATTGCGTCTAAAAGAATTCAATCCTAATTATTTTTTGCTGAAACAGCTTACGTATCTGTATCAAATGTTATTATAAGCGTGATGAATACAACTCAGGACAAAGATCGTGCAGTGAAACAGGGTAAAAGTAAATGGAGATCAAATTCTATTCACAGCGAGAAAATTTATTGTTCATAATAATTAATCAGAAGACAAATACGCATGCCAATTTTCACTCCCAAAAAAGCAGTTATCTTTCCACAACGATGCCATTTTCACTTATACTA